CCAGCCAACACGACCACAGGGACACCAGAGCGCCCCATCATGACTGCGGCGGCCTTGGAGGAGTATGTCACCAGGATCTCAGACCTCAATGCAGAGTTTCCTGAAGCTTGGCATTTGTTGCTTCAGGCGGAGGATCGCTGCCGGGGTGAGATTCAGAAGGGGGTTGACACGTGCTCGTGTGGAAGGGCGCCTGCCTATGAACTTGACGTATGAAGAGGATCGACCATGGGTTGGTGTCCGCTGCCAGGAACCAAGAGTATACCGGGATCGTGCAGTGATTCGCCCAGCCCAAACCTTCATCGCTCGCGGAGGAAAACCCATGTCTAGGCGTGAGGCCGAAGAGTCAACGTATGGGGATGCCACGATGCCTCCTCATCCGCCGCAGCAAATAGACCGCCAGGTCAGGGTCAATTCAAGGCAGCTCGAAAGAGGCAGAGGGAGAAGCAGTTTGGAGAAAGAGGCCAAGTCCCAGAAGTTTGCAGATGCTCCGTGGAATCGGCGCAAGCAGACTTCGGCAAAAGGGGCTGGAGGCAAAGATTGAGAATTAAAGGGTAGGGCCGCGGTTGGCTTATAGTGGTCTCTGTGGGGCGTATATCACGCCTATGTTGGCCTTAGTGGAGCTCATATTGAGCAAAGTGAATCTATCTGTCGCGCATCTTGGCCCTAGGTTGGGCCAAGTTGGGCCCATGTGGTCTATGTTGGGCACATCTTGAGCCCATGTTGAGCCTATGTTGGGCCTACGTTAGCCTATGTTAGGCCTGTGTTGGCATACGTTGGCCTAGGTTGGGCCTATGTTGGGCCTAAGTTGGCGCATGTGGGCCCCATGTTGGCCTATGTTGGCCCTAAGTTGAGCCATCTTGGAGGCTATGTTGGGGATATGTTGGCTATCTTGGGCCTATGTTGAAGATATGTTTGGCAATTTAAGTCGCCTGGAGGCCTCTACCCACGAAATCTCGATTATGCCTGTCCGCCCGGCGCGCATTACCGACACCACCCTTGAAAAACCCAGCGCTTTTGCATTTCTCCATCTTCGCCGCGTCGTACTTCGATATGCGCAATAAACCCTGTAAAACACAGTTTTTTCCCGAATGCATAGCGAAGGGTTCTCGTTTAACTCTTGGGGGTCTGGGGGTAGAGCCTTGTTCGCGACCCGTTGCTTCTATGTTCGCAACCGTCCGCAACCGTTCGCAACCGTCCGCAACCGTCCACAGTAGAGCGCTAAGGCGCTGCCACTGGGGGAAGCTTTTGCAAGTGACCAGGCATGGATGTGTCACGTGTCAGTTTGCGCCGCGAGTCCATTGTGATTTGCATGAAAAAGACATGTCGCGCAAGCAACGTGATGCGTCTTGCTGCACAGGCGCAGCGTTTGGTGAGATCTGCAGACTGCTGCGCAGTTCCATTGGGATTAGCGTTTGGAGAGTCGTGTTTTTGGGGTGTTGGGTGTGGCCGCGCCATTGGGATTTGCGTTTCAGGGTGTGGCATCGAAGCTCTGTTTTCGTGACAAGTCTCAGCTGAAATGCCGATTTTGGTGGATGGGAGTGTGCTCAGAACGGGTCGAAATCATTCCAAACGTGTGGTGTGGTGCAAATTTTGTTGAAGCTCACATGAGATGACATTAGACATTGTTACTTTTCGTGGCAGGCACAGGACTTTGTGCGGGTTTTGAGGTGTGGAAGTGCGATTTTCGTGGCAGGCGCAGGGAATCGTGAGGTTGCGATGTGTGACGGAGGTGACATTTCGTGGCAGGCGCAGTACTTTGTGCGCGTTAGACGTGTGGCCGCGGAAAGATTCGTGGCAGGCGTAGGGAATCGGGAGGTTGTGAGTTGTGGCAGAGGTGAATGTCGCTGTCACATTGGGATTGGCGTGTGAGCGGGTGTCGTTTGCAGGGGCTGGAATCGCGAAACTGCTTGGCAGGGCTGCGTGATGTGTGTGCTCCGATGGGTGTTTCCGCTGGACTTTTGGAGGAAGTCTCGTGCGAAACGTTCGTTTTGCAGACTTTGACATGTGAGTTTTTGAGGAAGTCTCGTACGAAACGCTCGTTTTGGGGACTTGACATGTGACTTTTGGAGGAAGTCTCGTACGAAACGCTCGTTTTGACTCCTGCGTTCCAACTGTGCATCGATTGTCGCGCAGGTGAAGTAGTAGACACATATCAACGTCGCGTCCCTTTTTCCGGCAGTTGCGGATCCCGTCGTCTAAGCGATGACGTCGCAGTTTCGTCCCGAACAGTCTCGACGGAGGACCCGCGACACAAACTAGTCTCGGTGTGCTGCGCTGAAGTCTCTCTGCCATTCCGCGCGCAAACCTTCCAGGTGCCACAACGCTTCCAAGACATAGGGTCGATTGCGCCAAGGACGCAATGCTGGGAGTGTGGGGGGTTGAGAGGGAGATCTGCGGTGTTTCGTACGAGACTTCCTCCACAAATGAAGCACTAATTCTCCAAGACCAACGTTTGCTACAAGAGTTCCTCCAACAATGAAGCGCCAAGTCTCCAAAACGAGCGTTGCGCGCGACACTTCCTCCAAAAGTGGAGCGCGACCAATCCACAACGCATTCTCGTCTGCATTTCGCGCCCTCGACGCGCACCAGCTTCTCAGAGGATTGCCCCGGACCGGGCCAAAACCACATCGCACTTATGAGTAAGCAAAGTAGCTAAAATTTGTCGGGTGGTCGGGACACATGACTCAGCTGCAGGGGCGCCAGAGCAGCCGCGAGAGATGACTCATCCGCGCACTCAAGTCGTCAGTTCTCAGCTTCCAGTTCCACCGCTTGCTCCGCGTACTAAAGTTGTTCTACAACGTCGCCAGTTCTCATCTTCCAGCTCGCCAGATACTCCGCGTACTAAAGTTGTACTAGAAAGTCGCCAGTTCTCATCTTCCAGCTCCCCACATACTCCGCGCACTCAAGTTGTATTACAAAGTCGTCAGTTCTCAGCTTCCAGCTCCACAGCTTGCTCCGCGTACTAAAGTTGTACTACAAAGTCGCCAGTTCTCATCTTCCAGCTCCCCAGAGACTCCACGTACTAAAGTTCTACTAGACAATCACCAGTTCTCATCTTCCAGCTCCCCAGATACTCCGCGCACTAAAGTTGTACTACAAAGTCGCCAGTTCTCATCTTCCAGCTCCCCAGATACTCCGCGCACTAAAGTTGTACTAGAAAGTCGCCAGTTCTCATCTTCCAGCTCCCCAATCGCACTCTCGCCTGCATTTCCGGGCACTCGACACGCACGATCTCCGCAGAGGGTTGCGCCGGACAGACGCAAATCGCACTCTCGCCTGCATTTCGCGCACTCGACACGCACGATCTCCGCAGAGGGTTGCGCCGGACCGGGTCAAATCGCACTCTCGCCTGCGTTTCGCGCACTCGACACGCACGATCTCCGCAGAGGGTTGCGCCGGACAAAACCAAATCGCACTCTCGCCTGCATTTCCCGCATCCGACATGCAGGATCTCCGCAGCAGAGGGTTGCCTGCGCCAGAGACAAATCGCACTCTCGCCTGCATTTCACGCACTCGACACGCACGATCTCCGCAGAGGGTTGCCCACGGCAGAGACAAATCGCACTCTCGCCTGCATTTCGCGCACTCGACACGCACGATCTCCGCAGAGGGTTGCCCGCGGCAGAGGCAAATCGCACTCTCGCCTGCATTTCGCGCACTCGACACGCGCGATCTCCGCAGAGGGCTGCGTTTCGTGGCGGTCCGGCGGCACTGCCCCCGGCCTTAAGAGAGAAAGTTAAGAAGAGCGAGAGGTGAGGATGTGAGATGTAGATATGAGGATGTGAAGATGAGCAGAGATGTAGATACGAGGATGTGCAGATGTGAAGATGAGCAGAGATAGAGGTGACAACGTGATTGTACAGAACTGAAGATACGAAGAACCCTTCGCAGACGCTCTCGGGAAAAAACCTCTGCACTTTCCCACATGTTGGAAATCCCTGCTTGAAATGTGACCACCAATATTCGGAAAATGCTTGCGAATCCAATTTAAGGGAGGAAGGGTGGGAGGTCGATGTGTTGAACCGGATTTCTTGGAACCATTTCATGGTGGAAGGAAATTTTAGGGAGACACATTGGAGGAAGGGATCACTACTTGAGCTCGATCAATTTTGGCTCAAGTGCTGATCCCGGCATGCCTTTGCTTTTTCCCCACCCACCCGACCCTGGTTAGTTGCCAGGGAAGGGTATGGGCTGTGGGACCTGGTAGGATCTGCCTTAGTTGGGCAGGTTCAGGTATCAGGATATCCCTGCTTGAAATGTGACCACCAATATTCGGAAAATGCTACCTTTCCAGGCATCAGGTGTCCTTGTTTTGCCAAACTGCCTTGCTGTGGTGTCTCAACTCGATTGCCAGCTTTGGACAGCCAACTCTTTACCAAGTTTTGACCACTGAAAAATTGATTATTTTGATTTCCACTTGGTCACGTGCTGAAAGTGAGTGAGGCAGTCATGGTTTCACCCTTTTTCTTTGTTTTGTTTTACTTTCAGGAAAGCGTGTCTTCTGGACTGTTTCTCGTTTACCCTCTCTGTATTGTACTTAATGTGTTTCTTGTGATGCGTGGCACTGACTGTTTTTAAGTTGGTGTTTGTTTCCCTGCAGAAGCGGCGCCTTTTTTACGCTCTTACGCCTTCCTGTTTTAGTCTCCCTGCGGAAACAGCCAAAACAAGGATTGAAACGAACGGACAAAAACAGAAACGAAAAAGGACTCGATAATGCCCGCAACAGTTCTCCAGAACAGCGAGTACGTAAATAAGACCACGTTACATCAGCATTGTTTTTGTTGTGCAATCTCTGCTGAAAGGATCACAGCCCTCCTGGCAAATTGATTGTAAAAACGATCCTGTGATTCACGTGCGCAGACATACATGTGCCTGCACACACTATATGCACCACACACGACCAACCACACCACAATGGCCCACCACCCACCGCCATGCAACACCACCGCTTTGCACTCGCAAACTGTGTGGTGTTTGTTGCCGTCGGCCGATATGGACAGGCTGAATTTGTTGGTTTGAAAAGCATTGAAGTTGGGTGTGTGCTCCTCAGATGCCCGTGGTGCCCAATTTTTAGATGCTGTCCGCGATTTGTTTTGTTTGCTGAGATGGTGGCGTGGTTGGGAGAACCAGGACCTGTTTGGGTCACTAGACCTTCGTTCACTTGTGTTCATTCCTGCTAGGAGCTCGCAAGCCGTAGGACCAGCTGGGCAAGAATCTGAGCACTGCAAACGTGGAGAGTTGGTTCGAATAAATTTGCACATGTTTTGCATATTGCATATCATATCTCACGCATTCGATTAAAAGCTCCTGGCAGGCCTCAGGGGGATAGCGGAGATAGAGGCATGGGGTTGAAATCGAGCAGTGAGCAGCACGCCGCTTTCAGTGACATTGTGACATTTAGCCTGTTGTTGATCTTCACCCAAGTTCAACAAACACAAGGACAAAACATGCTCTAACACCCCCAAGTGTTTCTACCATGGCTTTGCGGTGTCCTCCAAGCCTCTTTCACAAGGTGACCCTGGCCAACCTGGGCCGCCTGGCCCCAAAGGACAGCAAGGGGACAAAGGCCACAGCCTGAGAATCTGAGTTCTGACGATGTAGTTATATATATATATACATAATATATATATATACAATTAGCTGAGCAATTGAATTGCGGTAAGTCTCGCAGCCTTTGAAGACGCGGTATTCGAGTCAATACATTTATGAAAGGTGTCATAACATTTATATGCGTGAACCTTGAATGCATGTTTCAGCTTGAGGTGCTCAGGGCGAACAGGGCGATGCCGGAGAAGCTGGTGAAGCACCAGAGACTCCAACAGTTCCACCAGGAATACTCAAGTGTCAGTTGCCAGAACTATCACTTTTCTTTGCCCACTCCCACCATCTCCCACCCCATTTTTCGTGAAGACCTTGTCAAGAGAAATCATTCTGGAATGGGACGGGGACTTCATGGTGTTTTACGTTGATTTACCATTCAATGCAAGACAGCCACGGGTCCGTGTCAAAACATGTTGAAGAGTCGGCATCAATGAGCAGTTTGAGGTTTCCGGCCCCGTCAACTGCTTTCAGCTACTTTGCAGATCAGCTGAGCATGCCACAAGCAGGGTTGTATTGAATTGCGTCTTTTGGAGGAGTGGCCAAAACGACCATGGTGGGCATTGCATTCGCCCTTCATTTAGCAGTTCTGGTCACTCCCTCAGTGTGGGAACTTGCCACTAGTTACTGTACTCATTAGTCACCACCAGAGTGCGGTGGTCCAACTACATCGAACTTTGGCCACCCATTCCACGCCTTCCTCAGGGAGCAGTTTTCGCAGCTATCAGCGGGAAGGCGCACCAACTGCAAATGATCGCAACCAACAGTTGAGACAGAGAATTGCACGGCAGCTTTGCTGTTTTGAGCTTGGAATCGAAGCAATTCTAGGTGAGTGGGAAGCCAAAAGCTCCTAGAAAGGGAAACGAAGAAGAAGAAGGAGCAGAAAATCCAGAAGGCGTGTACGAAGACTAAGACATTGCTTGCTTTGAGTTGCAGTATATATTTGCGAAGATGTGCAGTTCTGGAGTCGATTGCAAAGACATTGAGGCGAAGAATATGCTGAAGAGGCTACGGTTGAGGAGATGCCAGAAGAGGTAGAGGAGCAAGAAGAGCAAGCAAGCTGAAGAGCACTCCTGCACCGCGGCGGTCCAAATATCAATCGCCACATTGCTCAGATGGGATGGGCAACACAATTCACATGTCAGAGTGGTCACAGTAGTAGTGGTGGTGGAAGTACCCGTGCTTGCACCGGTACCCGCACGAATTACCAGTGCTGGGGTAGGCTTAAGTCGCATCAACTTGTGTAATGTCGCATCGCGACCGTGTCCCTTGGGGATCAAAGGCACTTCACTAAAGCAAATCTACTGATTTTTACTGCTTGCACAACATCATGCCCCCACATTGGGAACCAAAGGAGGCTTAATGAAAAACAGAAAACCCCAAGCAAGTGCCTGCTGCAAATACTGTACCTACTCAGGCATTCTACTTGTAGCAGACTTGTTCTTACGGTACATGTCAGAGTGGTTGTGCGGAATCTGTGAGAATCTCTTGGGAAGCTTGCCATTCCGTTGTTTATTTGGCTCATGTCTTTGGTTGAAGACACCGTTTGCGACAGGGCGTGCGTGAACAAATGCATCAAGCGCCTGCCTGTTTGAGAAGGCCAGCCTTTCAGAGCTGGTGAATACAGAGATGTACCTCAGGAGTCAACAATCCCAGTCAAGCCAAAGATGCACCTTCTTGCAAAGGCTGCCGAGGCCGGAAGTCACGTGCTCCAGGCCATCAGCCGCACACCCGAGTAAAAAGCAAGGGGGAGATCCTTACACGATCTGGTCTTTGCGCTCCTTGTTGCTGGGCCAGGCGGTCCAACAAAGATCGCGCCCTTTGGCCATATTGGTCTGCCAGGAGAGAAGGAGGATGGCCTGAGAAAAAGGGTCAATGATACCTGAGTATGCGACCGTGGGCAGCGCACGTCCCAAAGGAATTCAAGGAATCGAGCAAAAGACTGCTTTGCAGGAACCCAGAGGAGAAACTCTAAGACCCTACGCCGCCCTTTTCCCACGATGCGATTCGCTGGAAAGCTCAAAGAGCTTACAGTGGTTGAGTGGATGCGTGTGGCCATGGGGTTTTTTACATCCCAACACTACCACCCTAGCACCATCTTCAAAATCGCGTGGCCATATGGAAAGAATTCTGATGAGTAGTCCATTTTTGTGTGCTCCAAGTTTAAGAAACCCCTGAAATTCACAGGCGCGGACTCCAAACCAGCCAAACTCCAAACACAGGTTGTTACCACGTAGCCATGGCGATTGAGACAACATGATGTGACTTCACATGCGCTGATGTGATTTCACATGATTTCACCCTTCCACACGTGGCCACGCAGTGACGCTACTTCACACCCACTTATGTGACATAACCCGACCCCGTGAGCGGCGGTATCCCTCATAGGAGTCAAGGTAGGCGTTCTTTTGTTTTTGTCGCGGTCATTGTTCTTTTTTCTTTTCCTGAGCGCCATGATACTGGTGGGCAGTTGGAGGGTTTGGATGTATGGCGATTGCGCCACGATGACTCGTATTTCTTTGCTAGTTTTTCAGAGACGGAAGCGTCGCAGCTTGTATAAGGATAGAAAAATGAGCAGAGAACAGACCGCGCAAATCGCAACGTGCATACATGCATGTGACAAAGTTGCTTTTGATGTTTGTTTTGGTTGTCTCGGCAATTTGCCCGAGCTCCTTCTCTTCTTGCAATGTAACACTGCAATACACCTGACCCAGGAAATAGAGCCTGCTGCAGGGTAACAACAAAGAGAATTAGTCGCACAAGCAAACCTTGATCAATGAGGCAACTTTGCGCAAAACCTTCTCAACGCAAGGGCTCTTTGAGGGTGTGTCAAAGGCGACTTCAGAACCACAGGTCTGATTCCTGACACTACTATCGTGTCACATATATGATCTTTCTTCCGGTGTGTTGAGCGGAGGCACGCCCCCAGTCCCCAGAGCAGCCTGACAGACTCTTAAGGCTACCCAAATGGAGATGGTCCTTGCCTGTCGAGAAAGTTTTTCTGGGTTGCCCTTCCTGCTTGTGTACCCTACCATGAGCGCAAGGCGCTGGGTCAGAGCCAGGGCAGTTTGCATTCTGGGCGCTTTTAGGGTTGCGCAAGCACATGGGCTGGCGTTGCGCCAGTGTCGTCAGAGCCTAAAATTAAGTTTGCCCTAAGAAGGCCCGCCGCCCGAAATATGATCAACAAAGCTCACATGGCGGCGTCCGCGTGCACGTTAGCCAGGCTGGCTTTCTGTTGCGGAAGTCTTGCTTTTGGTGGTCTGACGTGCATGTTCCCCCGCGCGCATCACGAACAACATCTCTGGATATTAGTCCACGGCTGGGATCCAGGGCGGTCTTTGAGCACGACTCGACGGCCTTGACCTGCCTACATTTTGAAGTTGTTCATTCACACTGTCGGATGTCAAGGCGGGTGCAAGATCAGTACTTCTGGCGATCCTTCACCAGCACTTGTTCCACTTGCGTCCTGTCCGACGAGTCCTGTTTTTAGATCATAGAACCATAGGGCTTAGCCCGAGACCCATGCTTCTGCGCAAGCAGAGCAAACCGAGGTGGAGAGAACGCCTCCACGACCAAGCGCGGGGAGTCTGAAGTTTCTTTTCACGCATGGCCGGACACACTGTTTGTGAGTCTGACAACATTGACGCGTAAGAATTTCAAGTCTCTCATAGAAAACTCGGTTCGATCATGAGCGCATCCAAAACGAAGCAGCAACACTTGTATTTTCCAGGAGGGCCTCCTCTGACAACCGCGGAGTCGAACCAGGTCGCAATTCTCCTGCGACCACGCAGCAGATGACTTGGACGGCATTCCTGCCTGACAACTCTTGGCTCCAGTGAAGGGAGGACGACATTGTTGGTCTTGATATGCTTTCCAACCCATGAAGATTGAAGACAGCCACTCCAAAAATCCAAGAAGGCACCAAAGGTCTTCATGGCTGACTTCATGGCTGATCGGCTCATCAACAGGCGGCCATCTCCTTGATGATGACCTCGCCGTGTCCAATTGAATTGCGTGGCGCGCCCCTCTAGAATACGTTGGGACGAAACCGCCCACGCGGGGCTCAAAGCTTTTCCAAACTCTTTAAAGGGGCAACAATAGCACGGACGCGCCGGAGTGCAAAACTCGAGCGTGAACCAAATCAAGCCATAATGTTGTCGGCAACACCGAAGCGCTGGAGGACTTCTCGCCCTCCTTTCCTTGTCGATTCTTCATGTCTTTGGAGCTGCGACATCGCCTCTTGCGCGGGCAATCGCCATCGTTCATCATGTAGTCCGGCTTGGTAAGGTCGGATCCATCCCCGGGCCTCATGGGGGAAGGGTGCTCCAGTTTCCGAATGGCTGCGATCGAACACCTCAGATGCCCTTGCGGCCCAATTTCATAGATTCCATGTAGAAACTTCCCGAGATCTTGCGCGACTCAGCCGGAGGAAAAACGATCCAGCAAAGCCCACAAGGGATCCAGGTGCTCAGCTGCTTCCAGAGCTTTCCTTGCAACAGGGAGTAGATGTAGGCTAGGCAACTTGTCCTGTGTAGTTTTTTGATCTTCACCCATTGCTTCCATCGCTTGTGCTCCCCTTGTCTCACCAGACAAGAACCGCAGCCAGCCTTCAGGGGAGGTGCGCAACGATGCCATGTCACGTGTGAGGGCGCAGCTCATATCCCTTCAGGCTTTCCTCGCGATTTGATGAAAGAAAACCCCTGCCATGCCACGTGTGGCAATCACTATATAAATACATACACACATATCTATTTATATATATATATAACAGAATCGAAGTAAAGCCGGGAAATTCAAAGCAGCCAAGCCAGTTCAGCAACTTTTCCGAAGTTTGATCATAATTCTATTTAGCGTGCTTCAGCTACAGAGGCATTGCATACGCTTGGTTTCTTCCAACCTACTCAGTCAGTGATGTAGCGCGGGTGCGAAAGCAGTGCATAGAATTTCTCAAGTTTATGTGGCGCAGAATCAACTCCTCGCAACACATCTGAACAGATCTCTTTTTTAAAACCTTGAACTAAGTTAACGATGCAACAACACAGTGGTTTCTGACACGTATGGAGGTGTTTCCCATAAAGGACGAAGATTCAATATTGCACGTGGCAAAACTTTTTGTAGAAGCAAAGGCCTGAAAGAGACGAGAAATGGAATTGCGGAAGTGATTTCACAGCATAAAGTAAGGATAGATCATGATACAGATACAGGGCGAGGCCCTCGCCGAGCAAACAACATGAAAGAAACATGTTGTTGCAAGGGAAAAACGTGTGTAACGCGCAGATGCGGCTGCAAAATGAAATTTTTGCAATAAAGGAAATTGATTTCCAACAGCATGTTTTAAGCGAAAAGACCTTCGACAAACATATTGGAAACGAATCGATTGGGCTTACTTCGAGAACAGAGAGGCTTGTACAAACATCACTTGCAGGAAAGCCGGATTGCTTCAATCCCTGGCTAGCAAGTCAACATGGCGCAACAGCCAGGGGCACAGGCACAACGAGCTACAGACATGGCGCAGCAATTTGCACAAATGATGCAAGCGCTGGCACAAGGGCAGAATCAATTGCAACGAGCAATGGCAAAAGCATACACCCAGCAAACGGCAATCACAAGGAACATAGCAGCCAGTGTAGAAGTACGAGACAGATCAGAATTTAAAGGCATCCCAAAGCCTGACAAGTTCAATGGGCACACAGGTACCTGGGACTCATGGTACTTCAAGTTCAAGACTTGGATTGAGACAAGTCACAAGAATGCAGGAAAGTGCATTCAGCTCCTCGAAGAGCACCAAGACACAGAGATCAATGAGACATCTCTGGAAGATGATTACTCTGAAGGAGCCGAGCTTGTTTCAGCTCAGGCCCGACAGGCTCTGATCTCACTGTGCGAGGGAGAAGCCCTCGAGATCGTCAAGAATACCTCCAGAGGTCAGCGCTTTGGCCTAGAGGCATTGCGACGACTAATCACCAAGTATGATCCACAGAATCCATGAAGAAGGTCCTGCGCCCACAACAGCGTGCACTGGACAAGCTTCGAGAGAGCATAGAGGCCTGGGCAGGCGAAAATATGAAGAGCGAA